AAGTATCCATTCGCAATAGTCAAATGGCTGATTCAAAAATAAAAATAAAAAAATGAAGTAAGAACCAAGAAGTCAAAGAAGAAGCCAAAAAAGAAAGGGGAAACAGCTGAATAAAAAAAAATGTCTCGCTGAACTTTAGGAAATACAACCGGAAGTGGTAGAGGTTACGCAGTACAATCAAATCTTCAAATATCTACATTTTTGGTGACCCTTCACCGACGACATTAACGATATACCGATCCCAAAGGGACTAAAGGGCCCACGAATACAACCATTTGACGGGACAAGAGATCCCAACGATCATGTCTCTAACTTTCAATGGGAAATAAAAGTGATTCGAATGGATCTAAAGTTAGGGAGCTTATACTTCGTAGGAACATTGGATGGATCTACTTGATATTGGCTAGCAATCCTTCCACCCAGGAGTATAGGAAGATTCGAAGAGCTATGCCATAAGTTTTGTAACAGCTTCATCCAACAAAGGAGATTCCAACAACAGGTGCATGGAATATTCGCTTGTCGTTAACAGGAAGGTGAATCTAATAAAGCTTACTTCAAGCGATTCAACTAGATTAGTGTTATAAATATATACAACTACATACTACCTTTTAGTACACTATTGTTTACATTTATGGTCTTAGGGTTTAAGACTAAAATTCACATATAAGAAAATATTGGATTTTCTAGAAACATACATTATAATATTTACAAAGAAAAGATACAAAAGGATTTCATACATTTTTAGTATTGGATATAAGACTTACAACCTACTTTTATAGAAAATATCAGATTTTCTGGAAGTATACAAAACCATTTTAAGCAAAACAGTTACAAACCCTTTTCTTTCATAAATGCTTATGAACTCACCAACTTAATTGTTGATGCTTTTCAAAATCACTTGTATTCTCAGGGAACCAATAACCAGGTATCCAAATCTTTTGAGAACAGGAGTTGCAGAATCATGGATTTCTACATTTCAATTATTTGATGTTTACTTTTGAACAAACACATTGTGTAAAATCTATGTAAACTTGTACTCTCAATGCAAGGTTCAATCTTTATACCAGAAATGTGTCATAGATGAGGAATGGATTCTGGATCTATAAGCTCCTTCTTGTGTCTTCAAGCTTTTCCTTCTTCCAGTGGCTTCAACACACACCAAAAACACCCAAAATGGCTCACAAACTCTCTCAAATACCTTAGGGTTCCGAGATTTAGGGTTAGGATAGTGGAGGCTGGGAAATAAGGCCAACATGAAAGGTTTAAGGTGTTTAAATAGGGTGAAAAACCCTGAAATTAAGGTTTCATTTTACCCAGCCAACTCGTCAAGTTGATACCTCCCAACTCATCGAGTTGGACACTAAAACGCACGGTCCAAAACATCTCTACTCGACGAGTCTGGGGCCTCCAACTCGTCTAGTTTCTCTATAAAAATGAATCATTTATAAGTTAGATTCATACCAGGAACCAGACATTACAATTAGGGCCTTTAAAAAGGTGAGATTTAGGCCCATCTGGGTGTGAGTGATGTATTTGAAGTGATCCGGGTGTTTGGTTCGTGTTTTGGTGCCTAGGGGTATTTTAGTAAAGTTTCAGTTCAGGTTTTTGTGGGAATTTGATTTTTTTTCGGAAGGTCTTAAGGATGGTATGAGTTGATATAAGTGTATGCCTTCTCGTTACCTTTCCATGGATATAAGGATCGTCGGAAACGGGCTTATAACGAAGAAGTTATGGCCTTTAGAAGTTTGGTGGTTTTAAGGTTTAACCGAGTACGTGGGGGCGAACACAAATGTAGTACGATTGTATTACCTGATTACCTCTTTTGGGTGAAAGGAGCAAGAGTGGAAATTATTGTCATACTCATCTAGGCAGCTACTGATCGGTGGCAATGAAGGTGAAGTAGGGGATTGGTAGTGACACAGAGAAGCGTATGACAAAGAACTGAGTTTTCAATTTGGGGTTTATTGGTCTAATCTATAGCGATACTCGAAAATTCAGGGATTTTCGGCGAGGGTTTGTGCAAGATAGTTGTCGATATTAGGTGATAAGGAGTAGGCAGCAAAAAAAGTTTGCATTTGAAATTTGAAGGATTACTCCTTAATTTATATACTTAACGGATGTTATTTAAAGTAAGTTTTTAATCGAATTTTTATAGTATTTTCATTAAAGGTATGTACATCAGGCTTTATAATGTGTACCTCGTAGTTTACAAGATTAGATGAAAATGCTTTATAATATAGTTAAGATATGTGTGTATGTGTATGTGTATATGTATGTGAGTGTTTGTGTGTAAGGGTGGCGGTAACACATTTAAAGAAACTTGACGATGGGAGCAAGAAGATGGTCTCCTTGGGAGTTGAAAAAGGAACAAAAAGGAATTGACTACCCGATCCAGATATGGGCTCGATTCGTATGAGTATGTATGTGATGTTTGAAGAATGAAAAGAATGGGAGTGGAATCATGCTTTGAAGATCAAAAGTACTCCTGGAATAATATTTACATTTGATGTTTTACTAGATGCAAGTGAAGAACAAGAACAAATCTACCCATTCCAATAATATGAAAACTCATATGAATTGAATGATCCAAATGAAAGCATAATCCACACCGCTCAAAACAATCCAAGTACCTAAAGCACTCCTCAGTCTTCAAGTTCTAGCTCATCCGAAAGAGAAACACCACTAAGATATCGAAGTTTAACTTATATATATATATATATATATATATATATATATATATATATTATTAAACATATTGTTCATTTCTTGAAAATTAAGAGGTACAACATATATTACATGAGGTACAATAATATTAAACATGTAACAATTCATATATGTATTACATTACACAGGATACGTATTACACTACACTACACGCGAACCTTACCCTAATCTCCTAAACACAACCACCATCTCATCATCTCCACCAAAGATGCAGAGATCTCCACCAATGTCTCCCACTGAAGACCGAAGGTCCACGGCTACCGACCTCCCCCACCAAAGACGTCCCTCTCTCTCTCTCGCCTCTCTTTCTCTCGATCGCCATCAGAATGAAATAATTTCAAATTATCGATGACCTTGGACTCTCCAATGAGGTATCCAGCGTCGGTGTCTCCGCCCTTACCCAACACCTTTATCACTTCGAAATCACTTCCCAATTACTTACTACCTTCACTCTCACACCAACTTCCCCTTTTCCGATCATAATTCACTACCGATTGTTTCTGAAAAAAATCTCGAACAAAATCGATTTACATGGCCTTTGTTTCTCCAGAGAGTCGCTGACAGTGAACATTCGCAGGTTGGCGTTCGCAATACACCAATTTTGACTTTTTTCTAGTTGACTCGCAGGAACACCTGCTCAAATCATCTCGATTTCATTCTTTCCCAGGTAAGGTCTTTCACAGTATTTTAATTTTGACCTTTTGCTTGACTAGCAATCGCAAACATATGTTTATAGTACTCCGATTAACCTCAATCGTTCCAAACACATGCTTGAATCCGATTGCAAAAATATGTTACGATTCCAATTAGGTTCCATTCCGATTGCAAAAATATGTTACGATTTTGACTTCTAGGGTTGACCTGCAAATGACGAATAAGCATACAACCATTTCGATTCATTCATTCATTCCGAGCAGTGGGATCCAGATGGATTTAGCAATTCCATAATAGAATTGAGTCCTAATTGAATGATATTCTACTTGTCTATAAATGTTGTTAGTTTGTTCATCATAATGATAACTGGTAGTGGGAGGTAACATATGTTATTCGTCTACACACATCATCTTTAATTACTTTTTTTTTGTGGATAAAAATCATAAGTTTTTAAATAATATGCAATACTTTTACACTTTTTGATTGTCTAAATGGGTACCTTCTGCTTTGCCAACAGCCAAGAGTCCAGAAAATGAGGAAACTGGAGCCACATTTGTTGCTGGAAGAAGCAGGGTACTACTATCTTTTTTCTATTATAGGCTAATAGCATTATTATTTCTATTTAAAAGATTTAAAAAAATAAATTAAAAAAAAAAAACATCTTTGCAGCGTGTCGATACTGAATGAACGCTAACTGATGCACAAAGAGATGAATTTGAAGACATGCTTCGTGCCCTAACATTATAAAGAATTCAAAACAAAAAAGCAATGGGTTTTGCATTAGATAATGTTGACGTTGCTGGAGAGGTAAATATGGGTAAAACGGTCATTTTTTTTAAATAAAACTAATGTTTTAGTGTTACTGAATCAGTTGTATTGGTTGTGATAGTTGAAGTTTTGACTGAATCTTTGACTCTTAAAGAAACACCAATACCCACAATAGTAGTGCTCCTGTAAAGAATGCATCTGCTTACATAATGCATTCACTTGAAAGTGGTTTTCGTTTAAAAATTAATGACTGATTTGGTACTTGAAAGTAAGATAAAAAGATACAATGGTGAATGGTGAATAAAACTAATTAATTTATTACTTATAAAGATTTCAATTTTGGTGATTTTTTTTAGTAGCTGTGAAGGATAGAGATCACAAATTCTTGACAAGAGCTGTTGAAGAAGCTTACAAAGGAGTCGATTGTGGAGACGGATGCCCTTTCGGAGCAGTGGTTGTTCACAATGATGAAGTTGTTGTGGATTAAGCTTCAAAAGAAAACCAGAAGCATCAGCTAAATCTCTGTGGGACCACCTCTCTAAAGTTTTCAGGTATCTGCATTTGTTGTTGTTGTTTTTAGTCTTTATTGGTATGAGTTTGTTACGACCATCTGTTTACCATTTTGCACTTTGCACAATGTCAGGCCTTCAGAGAATGATTTGATAGATCATATGAGCTTCATTATAGATGTTGTAGACAGGGATGAAACATTGGCGAAATCCAAGGTTTGTCTTGTTTATGTTTTGTTTTCTTTCTAAGATATTTGATATCTTTTTGACGATTAATGATTTTGCTGAATCTGCCACATCAGCCTCAGTCAAAATGGGGTTGGGAGCCTCAGCTGGTGGCATCAACTATAGTGTCATGAGTGGCGTGAGTTGTCCAAGTGAAGTAAGAGCCATGTATGTTGGGGTCTGATTTGGTGGTAGTCCTAAACACCTATTGACTAGATTTGCCAACCAAATACATAAACAAAATTTGGTGATTATGGATTTTTTTTTTAATTTAAAAGTGAATAGTTGTTATGTATAAACAAACAGTGAACAGTGAACTTACTTCTGTATTTGGCTGCAGTAGCTAGATAATCCGTAATAACACCATCAACATTAGCTCCCACAACATACGAGTTTATTTCAACATATGGATCCGAAAAGAAGTCCCATGGTTGTGAAATAAACTCATTGTTCATAATCTGTACATAAACCGGGAGCTTAAAAGCTTGAAGTTTTGTCATGACATTAGTTTGATCAACAAGAAATCCACTATTGCGATGTTTCACTTTCATGTGAATGGTGATACAGTGTTTGTGAACGATAACTTCAAGAAATTCAATCCGCAAAATCAAAAAGCACGCACATGGGATGAGCAGAATGTGATGGCTAATACTGTTGTATTTTACTTCTTACTTCCTTTAATATATATATATATATATATATATATATATATATATATATATATATATTCATTGGTTTCTATCATTTTAATTTTTAATTTTTATATTCCAGGATATCTCGCAAAAATTGACAAATTCTTGACAAGGGAATTCTGGTCTGAGGTAATTCAATTTCAAAGTACAATAATGAATAAAAATATATTAAATCAAATATGCAATTTTAATGAAAATATGATAATGATATGATTAATTTTGGTATGAGTTTTGACAGTTAGTATTGATGGTATGATTTAAAGTATTTTTGATATGACTTGACAGTTAATATTTATGGTATGATTTAAAATACTTTTGGTATGATTTTTGACATTTAGTATCTATGGTATCATTAATAATATTTTTGGTATGACTTTTGACAGTTAGTAATATCACAAACAAGGAATCGGGAACTAGAAGATTACTTCATTGCATTGCATTACATGACAAACAAGTTATCCTTATTGATAAATACCAAAAAAATATTGTTATTAATGAGATACGAAAGTTTCAAGACGCACGTTATGTATCCCCTCCTGAGGCATTATGGCGAGTTTTTAGCTTTTCTCTTTCAAAAATCCACCCTTGTGTGATGGCCTTGCAAATACATCTCCCGAATCAACAGTTGGTTAGGTTCAAAGACGGTGACAGAATGGAAGACATTGTTGATAGGGAGAAAGGAAAAAAATTCAATGTTGATGACATTTTTCAAGAAGAATAAAGAAGATTCCAATGCGAGAAAATATTTGTATAAGGATTTTCCCGAGCATTTTACATGCAATTGGAGCAACCATTATTGGAGGACCATGGAACATAAATCAATGATTGGTTGACTTGTTTATGCTAATCCAGCTGAAGGAGAGAGATACTACCTACGCCTGCTTTTATGTCATATTACCGGGCCTACTTGCTTTGAAGATTTATAAACAGCCAATGGTGTATTACACCCTACATTTCAAAAAGCATCTCTTAAAAGAGGTTTAATAGAGACCGATGATAATTTATCACACTGTCTTGTAGAGGCTTCCTTATTTCAATTTCCCATCACACTTAGAAGGTTATTTGCGACGATGCTAATTTTTTGTGAACCAAGAAATGTTCGCAAGTTATGAGACAACCACTATGATTCTCTTTCTGAAGATTATAGGAAACAATATGGATGTGCCGAACGAGTGCAAAATATAGTCCTCATCGACATTAGAGTCCGTAGAATCTATGAGTAAAAAGCTTAGTGATTATGACTTTCCAAATGTCAATGCACACATCGATTTACAATCAAGAGGCTATCATGAGGTGCAAGAATAATACTTTATAAATGTGGGAAATGAATACTTACTTGCGCAAGACTCTCTCAATCCAGACCAGAAGTTTGCATATGATGAGATAATGAGGCATGTGGATGAAAATATTCCGGGTGTGTTCTTCATAGATGGTCCCGGTGGAATTGGAAATACATTTTTGTATAAAGCTTTGGTGGCCAATATTTGTGCCTGTGGTCATATTGCACTTGTAACTGCCACATCAGGTGTTGCAGCTAACAACATGTTAGGAGGGAGAACAGCTCATTCACGATTTGGAATTACTCTCAATCTTGATAATAACTCGATGTGCAAGATCACTAAACAAAGAGGGAAGGCTTAGCTACTTCGCGAAGAAAAGGTAATCATATGGGATGAAGCAGCAATAGCTAAGAAGCAGTCAGCAGAAATAGTTGATCGGACATTGCAAGACATCACAGATGAGAAGCTCCCTTTCGGTGAAAGGATAATGGTTATGGGAGGTGACTTTAGACAAGTGTTGTTGGTTGTGAGACGTGGCACTCGAGCACAAATTATGGACTCTAGTTTACGAATGTCACCTCTATGGGCTTCAGTTATAAGGTTTCAATTAAACATCAATATGAGAGCGGTAAATGACCCATGGTTTTCTGATTTTTTATTACGAGTCGGTGATGGAAAGGAGGAAACATTGGACGATTCCTTTATTCGTATACCTGATAACATGTCCATTACATACACTGATAAACCTAATTCAGTGGATACTCTGATTGATGCAATATTTCCTTCTTTGCAATCCAACGATGCCGATTCAAAATTTATCATTTCGAGGGCGATATTGTCAACTAAAAATGAAAGTGTTGATGGGATTAATAGTAAGTTCATCGAACGATTTTCTAGCGAGCAAAAAGTTAACTACAGGTTTGATGAAGCGGAAGATGACAAAAATAACTTATATCCGATGGAATATTTGAACTTGCTAAATGTTAGTGGTGTACCCCCTCATTATCTTCGGTTAAAATCTGGGTGCCCAATAATACTTTTGCGAAATATTGATCCTTCAAATGGGTTATGTAATGGCACCAGATTGATATGTCGAGCTTTCCAACAAAATGTCGTTGATGTAGAGATAGTTGTTGGCCAACATGCTGGAAAAAGAGTGTTTTTACCAAGAATTCCTTTATGTCCATCTGACGATTGGATGTTCCCATTCAAACTAAAGAGAAAGCAATTTACAATTCAGGTTAGTTTCTCTATGACAATCAATAAAGCTCAAGGTCAAACAATTCCAAATGTAGGTGTTTATCTGCCAGAATCGGTATTCTCACATGGCCAACTTTATGTGGCGTTGTCCAGAGGAATATCACGTGTCAATACCAAGATATTAGTAAAGCCGGAAATTTTTTTTGATAATGATGGAATCTACACATCAAACGTTGTGTACAAAGAAGTTTTATGTGATTAACAAGGTACAATCAACAACTTATTATTTTACAATTTCTTCTAATATGTATCTTAGATGCTCATTTGATGTTTAATGCAGGGCTAGCAGATGAAACAACATGATTGCAGATTGATGTAGTTTATATATTGGACATGTTATAAATATACAAAACTACATGATTGCAGATTGTTGTTGTTTATATATATTGTAAAATCAAGTATGAACTATTAGATGAAATTCCAAATGTAGACTCAACTTCTGTCGTATTGTATGACTATACACCTAGCAAGAAACTATCCGTTGAAATAAACTATTCGACACAAAATAGTCTACCAAATGACCGCAATGAATAGCTCATGTCTAAAGGAAACTAATCATCATTGATAAAACTATCTTTCGAAAGAAACTCATTGCCGTCTGACACTTAGCGCGGGTAAATGGCTAGAAGGGGTATAAATTTGAATAGAGTGTAAAAAACGACAATCAATCATGCAAATAACATTGATATACAAAAAATTTAATATAACAAAAATGTAATAAAAATAAATTAACAAAACACAATAAATTTAAAAAAAAAAAATCTTTACTGCTCTTATGTAAATTTAAACCCCTTATGTTTATTAATTTTAACTTTTATCGTTTTGAAATTCTTTAGTGCTCTCATGTAAATGTAAACCCTTTTTGTTTATTCATATTGGTCTTCCTTATATTTAACAAATATAATAAATTCTTACTAATTAAAATAGAAGGCTTTTACACATACAAATTTTGTTAACCTTGTATCTTGTAATGTAGGGCCTCCAAAGTCAAATTCAAAACCAACAATAAATGTTTCCCTTAATTCCTATCAACTATCATATCCAAACAACAAACCAAAATGCATATTGTCAAAATTTTCAATTTTGACATTGCAGTTTTAAACAAACACATTTCTTTTAAGAATGAACATAATTACTTTTATAATAAAAAGTAAATTAGTTTTAAGAGTATTAATTATGAATCTTCACAGTAAAAACTAAATTTCCTAAAACAATCTAAAAAATGCTATAATTTTCATATAAATGCTATAATTATGATGAAAATCAAATGTTATAGTCAACATTACCATCACAAGTGAATGTGATAATTGGAAAAATTAAAGTAAAGTGATATACATTAAAATAAATGGTGAATTCTTGAATAGAAAAATAAAATTAAAATTTTGTAATTGACATTAGAATGAAAATTAAATGCTATAATTAAAAAATAAGAAAACAAAATTCTATAATCAACAATAACATTAAAGTTGATTTCTATAACCGAGAAAAAATAAACTAAAATGCTATAATAAAATTAAAATTAAGTTTAACTTTATAATCAAATTAAATAAAATCAATATGAAATTTAAAACTCCATACAAAATTTTACTATAAAGTCGATGAAACAACAAATTGCTCGATGATATTCAACATTTTGTGGTTATCGATTAGGGTTAGCATCATGAACAAATATCTATTTTTACAATCGTAACAATTAAAAGTTTTTACTGGTAAGTCCAAAATCGTAACCAATAAGAGTGGTTCCAATTCCAGTTCATGTTTTTGAAACTGACACCCATCAAAATCGGTTCTTAGCAGTTAACATGATTACACTTAATAACATATTATGAAATTAAGTCTTTGTGTTGTGATAATTTCTTCATTTTACTAATTAATCTTTTCATAGTTTCTTTATTTTACTTATTAATGTTTTTGTAGTTTCTTAAAAAAGAATTTAAAAATCATACGTAAATGTCTTTTAATTTAAATATTCTACTTGTAGCATCGCTTTTAGTATTAGCTAATGTGATTTTTTAAAAGAAAAAAATAATTATAAATAATTAAATTTAAATTTTAATATTTATCTTTGTAGTTAATCATTCACCAGATAAATGTCACATGCCTAAGCAAGCATTTATCATGAAGGCAATAGGATTTTAACTTCTTCTTTTGAACAACAAACAAAAAAATCAACAACAATAATTGAAAATCATAAATCATAAATACCCAAAATTCTTTTAACATCTGAGCATCATAAACCCTTTCCGGCCCGTGTTTTCTTGGGCTACAAATTTTGAACATTATAAAAATAATTTGTTGAAATTGAAGGATAAAATGGTC